ATTGCCATAGACAAGAGCACTTCCAGAGCTGCACACGTTTGTTGAAACATCTCAATTGGTATTCCATCGATTCCTGGAACCTTGTTTTTTGCCAGTGCCTTCAGTGTAGCTTGGACCTCTTGGACCAGAAAGACGTTTACCTGTGTTTCATTGACTATGCAAAGATATTCAACTGTGCGGATCATAACAAATTATGGATAACATTGTGAAGAATGGGAATTCAAGAACACTTAATTGTGCTCATGAGGAACCTGTACATGGATCAAGAGGCAGGTGTTTGAACAGAAAAAGGGGATACTGCATAGTTTAGAGTCAGGAAAGGTATGCGTCAGGGTTATATTCTTTCACCATACTTATTCAATCTGTATGCTGAGAAAATCTGAGAAGCTGGACTATTTGGAGAAGAACATGGCATCAGGACTGGAGGAAGACTCATTAATAACCTGCGTTATGCAGATGACACAACCTCGCTTGCTCAAAGTGAAGAGGACTTGAAGCGCTTACTGATGAAGATCAAAGACTGCAGCCTTCAGTATGGATTGCACCTCAACATAAAGAAAACAAAAATCCTCACCAACTGGGCCAATAAGCAACATCATGATAAATGGAAAAAGACTGATTTTGTTAAGGATTTCATTTTACTTGGACCCACGATCAACACCCACAGAAGCAGCAGTCTCAAGAAATCAAAAGATGCATTGTATTGGGTACATCTGCTGCAATATACCTCTTTAAAGTGTTAAAAAGCAAAGATGCCACCTTGAAGACTAAGGTGCATCTGACGCAAGCCATGGTGTTTTCAATTGCCTCCTGTGCATGCGAAAGCTAGACGACAAATAAAGAAGACCGGAGAAGAGTTGATGCCTTTGAATTGTGATGCTGGCAAAGAATATTGAATATACTACGGACTGGCAAAAGAACAAACAAATCTGTCTTGGAAGAAGTACATCCAGAATGCTCCTTACAAGCAAGGATGGCGAGACTTTGTCTCACATACTTGGGACATGTTATCAGGAAGGACCAGTCCCTGGAGGACATTATGCTTGGGAGAGTAAAGGGTCAGCGAAGAAGAGGAATACACTCAACAAGATAGACTGACACAGTAGCTTCAACAACGGGCTCAAGCATAACAATGATTGTGAGGATGTTGCAGGACTGGGCAGTATTTCATTCTGTTGTACATAGGGTCGCTGTGAGTTGGAACCAACTGGATGGCACCTAACAACAACAACAAGCCTCCTAGACTTTGAGAGAATAAATTTGTCTTTATTAAAGCCATCCACTGGTGGTGTTTCTGTTACAGCAGTACTAGATAACTAAGACAGAATTGTTGTTGTTAGGTTGTTAGGTGTCATTAAGTTGGTTCCAACTTATAGCGACCCCCCATGTGTCTGTCAGTTTGTCATACTGTGAGGGCTTGCGTGTTGCCGTGATGCTGGAAGCTATGCCACTGGTATTCAGATACCAGCAGGTCCACCCATTGGCGGACATGTTACAGCTAAGCTTCCAGACTAAGATAGACTAGGAAGAAGGACCCGGCAGTCTACTTCTGAAAAGTATTAGCCAGTGAAAACGTTATGAATAGTAGCAGAACACTGGATATAGTGCTGGAAAATGTGCCCCCCAGGTTGGAAGGCACTCTAAAGACGACTAGGGAAGAGCTGCCTTCTCAAAGTAGAGTCGACCTTAAAGACGTGGATGGAGCAAAGCTTTTAGGACCTTCATTTGCTGATGTGGCACGACTCAAAATGAGAAGAAACAGCTGCAAACATCCATTAATAATTGTAACGTGGAATGTACAAAGTATGAATCTAGGAAAATTAGAAATTGTCAAAAATGAAATGGAACGCATAAACATCGATATCCTAGGCATTAGTGAGCTGAAATGGACTGGTATTGGCCATTTTGAATTGGACATCATATGGTCCACTATGCCAGGAATTACAACTTAAAGAGGAATGGCATTGCATTCACCATCAAAAAGAACATTTCAAGATCTATCCTGAAGTACAACACTGTCAGTGATAAGATAGTATCCATATGCCTACAAGGAAGACCAGTTAATACGACTATTATTCAAATTTACGCACCAACCACTAAGGCCAAAGATCAAGAAACTGAAGATGTTTACCAGTTTCTGCAGTCTGAAATTGATCGAACATGCAGTCAGGATGCATTGATAATTACTGGTGATTGGAATGTGAAAGTTGGAAAAAAGAAGAAGGATCAATAGTTGGAAAATATTGCCTTGGTGACAGAAACGATGCCGGAGAGCGAATGATAGAATTTTGCAAGACCAATGACTTCTTCACTGCAAATACCTTTCTTCACCAACATAAACGGCGACGATACACATGGACCTCGCCAGATGGAATACACAGGAATCAAATCGACTACATCTGTGGAAAGAGATGGTGGAAAAACTCAATAT